TTGGGCCTTAGCCAGACTCAAGTAAAAAAGAGAGAGTGTGTGTGTGTGTGTGTGTGACTCTGGTGGGAAGTAGCTCAGAACCATGGAGAGCTCTTTTAAATTCCGCTATGGGGAATAATGGACATCCTTGATTTTTTCTTGTTATTGTTGCTAAAATTGGCCTGAGCTATTCAGGAATGAAGGAAGCTGAAGGGCTAGAAAAAGCCTGCACCGAAGGTAGGAACAAGGCCATAATACCTACTATAAAAGAGTAGGTGGAAAAAGTCTAACTTGCAAGTTAAGGAATTGTGAGATACTGCTGTGTTAATGTGAGATACTGCTGTAAAGCTGCTAAACATAGGAGTTGCTGGCCATGATAGTCACATCCTTATTGTAATGTGTTCACCATTACAATAAAGGAAAATACTGCTTTTCTCACAAATAATGAGTTTATGCACAATTATTCTGTGAAGGAAATGCCTTTTACTGTGGCTGTGTAGGAAACAGTAAGAATAACGCAATTTTAGGTTTTTCCTACAAGTGCTTGACTTCCAGATTGATTCAAATGGTGATTTAAAATCCTGCATTTTGTTAGTTATTATCAGTCTGAAATACTTGAATGGGATTTCACTAGAATTACCTTTGAGAGAATATGCAAATTCAACTTTTAAGTCTTTTGTTTCTGTAAAGTATTAATATTTCTTTAATAATTACAGACTTTATATGGAAAATTAATTTAAAATCTTATTTTTAGAATGTTTACCTTACAAAAAAAGTATTTTTTGGTAAAAATCTTCAAGCTTGCTTAATTGCTGTAGAAAAAGTTATATATATCTGGGCACAGAGACACAACAATCCAATCTTAGATATAAAAGAAAATAGCTCACTCATTAAAGCTGATAGTTGCTAACACTCACCATGGTTTGACAGGAAATTTATGCATTAGGGATAGTTGTTATAAATAAAAATGGGAACTCTGATTAACAGTGTAAACATAAAGTATTAAGTTTAAAAGGACATAAAAGGAGCTAAGCAAGAAGCGAATACTTTCAAAGGTGTTTTAAACTCAGCAAGTTTTAAACTCATCTGTCATTTTTCCTTAATAATGTGTCATGCCAATTTTGAGAGGAAAAGGCATTGGCAGCATTATGTGAGGTTTTGACTTGCAGCTTCATAGCTCTGTTTTATTCTTAGCCTTACTATTGTACAAAGTGCTTTGAGTTTTTCACTTCCTTCACTTTTAAATAAATGAATAGATCTTAGATCAGTGGTACACTTGAGCTATGGGGATGGTGAGGATCACATGCAGAAAGCAATTAAATTTTGGTGGCATGGAGCACTACAAAAGCTGTAAAGCAGTGTAAATTAGACAGCATGAACCTATATGCTAATACAAGTAAATGGCTTGAATTATCTTGTTAGGTGCTTTTTTGGGGGCTTTTTTGTGTGTAAAGTTCTGTATCCCAAGTAAAAGGAAACTGGAGTGCAAAGGGAAATTTTTGCAGGCTAAGATTTGTATATTTTGGCGCAGTGGAATTAAAGTTAAAGCAGATACTTTTTTATCATATGGCAATATTACTATTTGCAATCCCCAGTAAAATTTGTCTTGCTCTAATAAAAGTACTGCATGAAACATGGTTCCATTTGAACTAGAAAATGGTAATAAAAAAGCAAGTCTAATTATTTAGTTAATGATCCCATTTGGCATTCTTTCCCTGATGTGGCCCACTCAAAACTGTGTTCCGGCATTTCTATGAAATCACCCAGACCCCAAGTCTGCCATGTATAAGAAGAAAGTCTTTTAGCTCAGTTCTGTGACTGTTTTTTGTGTTTTTTTCTCCCCAGCATCTGAATACCATATAGCCTTCACTATGCTTTGATTTTGCAAAACCTCCTGGTTGCAAATATCACTTCAGTTTTCTTATGGTTGCCAAGTGTCATGCATTTTTGCATAACTATTACAAACTCAGCAGCTCTCTCATCTGCCTGTTTTTCATCTTGATTTATAAACATCCAGCTGAGTTGTGAACAGACTGATGTTAAGTTTCCTGGTTATTAGATTTTTGCATGTTGCTTTGATGCCAGCCAAAAGAGAAAAGATCTTACCTCTGATCTTGCTTCTGATGTCTGCAGCCATTAAGGAATGACATGGGGAAGCAAGTGGAAAAGAAAGGAAAGTTTAGTGGAGTGCTGCAGCAGAAACAAGAATGGAAAAGTCAAATATTACCTATTCCTTTCCCAAGACATCCAGATTATTCTACTGATAGGGCACTGCACTTTCCCCAAGAAGAGGCGGCTGAACTTTGGTCCCAGATGAGCACTGAAACGGGAGGCAAACATTCTATTAAGTCTGTTAAGAAAGGAATGCACCATTTCTGTTTGTTAACTCTCAAATGACTTATGCAGGGCAGAAAGCCTTATTCTGTTCAGCTTCTTGATTTAACTACTGTATATTTTTGAATGCATTTTTGGTGCTTTAATGAAAAGGGAATAAGCAATTTGGAATCCTTTACTTAATGAAATCATCATTTCAGTGGCAGTTTCCTTTATCTGTTTTGCACTTACTTGTTTAGGAACTACTTTCTCCTACCTCATGAGCCAAATTTATCTAGGTGGAACTCCTAATTCTCAAAGTTTGTTATGTGTTTATTTACAAGTGTAAAAAAATTTCAATATCACAAATTCTTTCTTTTTATAACACATAAATTATGTCCTTCTAACTTCCATCGTCTGATCTTTTACTTCATTGCTTCCAAAGATTCTCTTCCTGTTTTATTTTTTTTTTTTTTGGAATGAAGCTTCTGCAAGGATTATCAGTAGATTATTAACTTATTACTGTGGAGGAAGATCATGCTTGATGTTAGAGGTTTGAATTTTTATTTTTCATGAACTGGGGTTTTATTAGAATAGGGTTCTATGGAGTTGACACAGTAAGTAAACAAAAGAAAATAAACCTTTACTATCATGTGATTGTCCTGTTCATTTTCTAAGGTAATTTTTATCTTAAAATGACATTTCATTAGTTCAGATTAAACAAAGGTAACGTCTCACTTCACTGTGTTTCTGGTTAATGTATTATCCTAGTACTTAAAAAGGACTTTAAAAGTGAAGACTGTTTTATCCATTGCTTATTAAAATGAATCCATATATGTAATTTCCTTGGAGGAGAGCATTGTTTCTGTAATTGACTCTTTTATCATTCTAAAAGAAGAATCACCAATAGGTTTTTGTCTTTTTGACAGAAAATCTTGTATATGTTTGTCAAGTACTCTGCTCTTTTTCTTTCAAGCTACAATTCCCTCTTTTGTTCAAAATAACATTGATTGAAAAAAAAAAAGAGAAATTACTGTATCTTTTTTGAAGCTTTCACATGTAATATGCTACAAGAACTATGAACACTTATATTTAATATTGTATCTAATACGAAGGAGTGCTTATTATTTTCAAACTGTATTTGTTACTGTTGATGTACTGTTGATTCTTGTATCTAGTTTAGAAAAGTAATTACTTCTGATTAGATTCTTAACCCCTGATAAACTCTTTCAAGGTCAGTGTTCTGTGTATAGCTTTAGCTTAAAAGCCCCCAAGTGCTGTGGGTATGGACTCCTCAGAGCCACTGCTGTTGTGATAATTGAACCTTTAGGTGTTCATGTAGCATAAGTTTGAGGAATATTTGGTCTCTGATACTAAAAGTACCTAAATTGGTGTTCTGATAGTTTGTTTTTTATCTCTGGCCAGAAGCTATGTAGCTGAAGTAGGATTAGTACTTAACTCCATTGTGTTTTTTGTTATTGTGTGTGTGTGCTCTGGGATTTTTTTCTTCAAGTAGAAATAAATTTAGTAACTACAGGGGCATAGGACCCTGAATTTGCCATAATTTTTATGTGGTTCACCTTAGGCGTTCTCTATGTAATTAGCTCTTCAAAGGAAACCAAATGTTTTTTAATTGAAAAAGTGCTCAGTTTTATTAGAGTAACAGTTAGGATAAATAACACTTTAAGTTTTGCAAATTCAGTGAATAGGGAAGAAAGAAGAAAAGGGAAAAAAATGTTTACAAGGTTTTCTCTGCCCACATTATCATTGTGAGTGTACTGTTGCTTCTACTTGCTCACAGTTAATTCAGTGCCTTTAAGCCTTGAATTGCATGAAGAAAGCTTATATTTGTTTGGAAGATAGCAGGAATTTCCTTGAAATTTTGGAAGTTGTATTCTTTCGCTATGGAATATTTTTAAAGAGCTGTTCAACTTATTTGTATTTTGTTTTCTCCAAATTTCCAGATCTGTGATTTTTTTCCAGTGATTATTCTGTTGACTTTTAAAATTTTGATTGAAAGCAAGTTCTTTCCAAGGTTTTCTTAACATATTCATAATTTTTATAAATGATAAAAATACATAAATGATAAAAGATATGAGAGAATATATTAATATTCTTCTATTAATTTTATTAAAATTAAGGTTAAATATTCTGTCTTGGATTTTTTATTTTATTTTTTCCATTTCAAAGTTTTGCCTGATATTTTGAACAGGGAGTAATGCTTAGAGAGGGGTAAACAATTATTTGACAAAACTGCTAAATGGCTGAACTGCTTTAATTGATTATGCAGATTTATATCTCTCATTCAACATGTATAACATCTTTCAGCTGCAAATTTGATGGTATCTGTAAATATTAATGAATCAACTTCAAACATAATTTTGAAGTTGGCAAATATTGACAAGGGAAATTGGGGCCTGGTGAGACTGACTTGTAAAATGTACTCACAAAATCAATACAGAGCCTAAAATATTCTTTGATTTAATTCTTTGGTTGCTAGATCACATTGTATCTTAATCTAGATATAATGAAAAAAATGGTAGTTAATAATGTTCTGATTGAGTGATTGATTGATCTTTGTGGATAATCTATGATTAGCTAAATAAGAAAACATTAGATTCTTTCTCACTCTTATGAAGAGTAAATCAAAAGGAAGTTGTTCTTACAGAATGTGAAATTAAAGGGATTAATTTTTTTCTTTCAAACAGTTACTAATCTCACTGACTGCTGGAATAGTGGATTTACATGTTAACCTCCAACCTCCATGATGCAGTTGTGTTTCTTTCCTTCTGTCACGGACAGGGTAAGCTGTTGTTCATACGTGTCACAAAGTTAGGATTTTTAAAAATTTTCTGCTGTTTATGTGACTGATAAAATACATTGTATGTTTGCGTGTTGTGCCTTTTGGAATAATACTTTGTACACACCAAAAAGCTGTAAAAGTTCTTTTATGTCACGGAATCACATCATTGCTGGCTTTAGGAAGTTTCTTTGGGGATCTTTTAGTCCAACACCAGTGATCAAGGTAGGGTTGATTAGAGTTCATTGCTTGGGTCTTTGCCCAGCCTCCCAGGATGGAGACTCCACTGACAATTTTTGCTGCACTTTCACCAGTGTAACTATGTGATGTGCTAAAGACAAAGAATTTAATTTAATGTGACATGTTGTAGAGAATAAACTATCATGGGAACTTTTAATAATGAACTGTTTCTTTGGTCATGAAAAATGAATAACTAGAAATTGTCCTGCAGATTTATTTGTCTAGATATTTTGAATCAATCTTTTCTACTTTCTGCTTTTTCAAAAATTTTGCATCAAACATTTGTACTTATTATAACCACTCTTTTTTTTTTTTTTGAGGAATCATTTCCATTAACATCTGATTGATTTATTGATGTGAAACTTCCTTAGTATGCAGGTTTTGGTTTTGTGGGCTTTGTTTTTATTTGTTTTATCTTAATTTTGTTTTGGTTTTATTAGTTTTTTTCTTAATGGTGGATATTTAGACTTGCAAAGGATAAAAATCTAGAAATTACCTAAGTAATTTGTACCACTTTGAACAGCAAGGAGGTAATGTAAAGGAATATAATAAAACAGAAAGTAATATCAGAAATTATTTTGCTTTGAAGCACTTGTTCAGGGCTTCAAAGATTATTATTTTTGATAACAACTCAGGTATTTGTGGTAGTTAGGGATCACTGATGGAGGAGGAGGATGCTTATAGAAAATAATTGCATACATTCCTTAATTACCTTCCTACATGATTCTGATTGAACTTCGACTTGTGAGGGAAATTGCACCCATTATTCTCTCAACTTCAGTTTTTCTGCTACACACCACCTTAAGAACTTGAAAAAAGCCATAGCCACCTTGGTTTGGTGATCTCTGTTGTGTCTTTTTTGGAAATTTATTGATGCTACTCTGCTTGCAAATGAATCAATTCTTGAACTGTTGATGATCTCTTACTTTATATTCTACATGTGCTCATCCTGTTGATTTATTTTGGTTGCATCAGTAAATATTGACTTCCTAAAAGAAGAATAAATTTGTCACAAGATTACTAATTGGACATTCTGAATATTTCTCTATTTATTCCTTTGTCTTCCATTCTGAAGGTGTTTTCATTTCAAATTTTTGCAAAGCTGTTTTCAGGTATAAAATACCTGTTAAATTGAAAATAGTTTCTGTGCTACTCAGCTGAGCATTTTACATCAAATACACACTGTAAGCTCCAAAATAATACCAGAATCTTCCCCTGCATTCCCATGCTTTGAATATTTTGTCTGTATTATAATATGTATTGTGCTAAAGCTTCTAAATGAATCTTCAGATGACTCATCTCAAGTTGATAATCTTCCTTTTAGACTTGAGGTTTTAATTCCTCAAGTCCTGTTAATTTACCTTCTTCATAATCTCTGTAAGTCTGAAAAATCATCAAGCTTCTACATTCAATGGCAGAACCTCTTCAGTGAAATTTCAGGAAGGATAAATCACATTGTGTCTTTCTCCAAAGCTTTTTCTGATTGGTTAAGATTTTGTTTTCTAACCAAATGAGTGGGCTGGAGCTTTGACACAGTTAAGGAAGTCCCTCAGTACCATCTCTTTCTTCTCAAATATTTAATTTGAGAATAATCTGCAGATTGTATCAGACACATAGATGTATTTATTAATGTACAAATGTAAGGGACTATATGAAGAGCATATCATGCAAATGGCTCAGAGCAATGTGTACAGGTATAAAATTAGACTTACAGAGAGAAACACTAGTAAAGAGGGAATTGTGAATGTACGAGTAAATAGTGAGTAAATACGAGTCTGATTATGTCTGCTTATGGCCTCTGATATATGTGAATAGAAGTTAAGAAAAAAGAAGTAAATTTCTACAATAGTAAGTATATATTTGTAATACTATGAATTTTATGTCCTTTACGTTCCAGAAAAAGAGGAAGTGGATAGTTTTTATGGGGAGAAAGAATATAAATAAACCAGTGAGCTTGACTAGGAAACTAAATGAACTTAATTTTGGAACTTTTGGAACACAAACATTAATACATGCTCTGTAAATGGGTTTCTGTTCTCTGGTTGAAGAAAACAATAGATATAATTTGTATGTTAATAAAGGTAATTAAAAAGTTATAGATGAATGAAATGCTTTCCAAATTGTTTCCAGTCACGATTCTAAAAATGTTTGCAACTAAATGGGAAAAGGTCTCTTGGGATTGATATATATGAATGCTAGAATTAGAAATAATTACCAGTCCTGGCTTGATTACAGTAGTGTGCAAAGCATGGAAAAAAATTCAAAGAAATGATGGTTAACAAAGTAGAGGTAGATATAAATGGGAAATTAGATAAATGCAGCATAGATTTGTTATCAGATTTTTTTTGATCTTTATTACTTTGGGTTTACTTACTTATTGTTTCAATGGGGTCAATTTACCAATGAAACACAGTTGGGGAGATAATGTGTATGTATCCCTTTCAGCATTTCTTGGCACACAGAAAGCTCTATATTGAGTGAGAGAAGTTGTGGATGAAAATAGAATCATTTGTAGGAAAAGGAAGTAGCTGAAGGGATGAAGTGACAGGGACTTGTGCTGCAAGGAAGAGTATCAACCTGGAGGAGAGACCCTGTTAGGGCAATTGATTACATGTGTTATTCATCTGGGATGTTTTCAGTAGTGACAATGTCACAAAAATATAATCATTTATAATGAAATATAGGTCACAAAATAGAGGAGGGTTCTGATGGGGTCAGAAAAATGTACAAGAGTTTTTTATGTGGTATACTGCAGTGGTAGAATGGGATAAAGTGTAATAACAAAAAAGGGATGAAAAATAACAATTTCTGTATATAAGATAGGAGCTTATAACTTTGAAGAGAGAGAGATGCAAAAAGGTGTGAATGTATTATGTCCTTTTAAAGTGGTTGCTGACTGCCAGAGCAAAGCAGCCATGAAAAGAGAAATCTTGTTTTGGGACACATCACACGAGGCAGGTCCAAGAGAGAAAAGCAAGTATTTGGTTCATACGAGACACCAGCAATGCCCTGTGTTACATGCAGAATTTTGATTCAATTACCATGTAAGTCTTCATAAAGAATGCATTGCATACACCGTGAATAATATTTGTAAGGTTTGCTTATTTTTATCAAACACTACAGAAGGATTTACTTGTTACTTTTGTCCTTTGATCCTTAGTTTTATTTTAATATCCTAAAAGGATTATTTCCTTAGGCTCTAATCCTTTGTCAGAGGCTGTGCCATCACATTATTCTTAAATAGGAACTGGAATCAGAAAGTTGGTTTTAATTTTCATTTTTATGAGAGTACAACAGGCTAACATTACTTAGAGTAGAATACTTTCATTAGAAGGTAGTTTTAGTTAGTGAAATCTTAAAAATATGAAATCTTAATATCTTTTAAGTTTACTTTTAAGAGAAACTAACAATGTTCTGAGGATTCAGTGTAAGTTGTAAGTCTGCTGTAACATGCTTTTTGAGTGTCTCACAGTTAATGGTAAGTCATTGTGATGGCTCTTAGAGTGGAATGAATTTCATGTTTTGTACATTGCACAATTTTAGAAGATGTACATACCTTACATATAGTCCCATATATGTTAGCTAAAGTGATGTGTGTGTTTTACTTTTTGAGTAATTTTCTCCTTTTCAGCTTACATAAAGTACACTTTTTTCCTAGGCCAGTAGGTGGTTGAGCCAAAAGTAGACTTGCTTAGTTTGCTTTGAATTTAATCTAAAATAACTTGAAACTGTACATTGCCAAGAAAAATCATAATGCTATTCTGGGGCTGTAATTCTGTAGGATGCAGAAATGCACAAGGAGAAAATACACACTGCGTCACTGAATTTACTATTGAAAACATGCTTGGAATAGTGCATTAAAAAGAACCTTATTTAAGCTATAGAAGAATTTGAAATTATGTAGTATTGAGCTATTAAATTTTTCATTTCTTAAATACCTTTTAAAGCTTTAAAATAATTTGAAGGCTTTGTGGGAGCAAGATGAAGAAAGATAGTATTTTTGGGTTTTTTTTTTTTTTTGATTATTAATTTGGTTTTGATTCATCATTTTTGCTATAGCAAAATATTTTTGCTATAGCAAAATAACTTTGACATGGATGCACATTATTTCTCATTAAGATATTGGTGCTACGCTTCAGTCACTTTTTTAGTTATAATTTTAATCAAGTCTCTTTAGTATTTTGTTTAGTTGTTTTCACTTAGTCATTCAGTGCGTTCCATTGCAGCAATGTTTTTTTTAACCAAATTTTTGCTGTTAATTTGGCAACAAAACTTTTTCACATTCTTACAATCAACTGCGGCTTACATGTGTAGTATGCACAATTTGATTTCCCAATTAAGGCTTGAAGCAGACCCTTATTTTAGGTAAATATTCTGTCTCTTCTTCATGGAGTCTAAACTAATTTGTGACACTATCCACATTTTCTGTGCTATGCACTTATAATAATAAATTTTAACTTGAGTTCCCTTCTCACAATGTTATTTTTCATTCAATTGATGCATTGAACATTATGTATTCCCAATGATTTATGGTAGCCACTACTTACCAGACATAGTTTATTTCATAGCTAATGCTCCAAATTTTGTAGTGACTTTTTATAATAAACCTACAAGATTAAATTAAACCTGAAAAATAGCTTACTGTACGTGATGCTTTCAACTCAGCATTTGCTTTTAATGTTATTTCATTCTTATTCTACAAAACCTTTTCCTGATATTGGTTTGATGTCTTTAGTAGCCGAAGTAACAAATCAATTTATAAGGAGTGATAGAGAACCTCTACATTTAAAACCAAAAAGCATTTATTTTAATCAACATCAATGTGCTGTTTATTTCTCATTATGTAGAGAAAATTTTATAGATATCTGCAGTCTTTTCATCTTCTCTCTCAGGGAAACAGGAGACCTTTTAAATTTGTATATGGAAGACTTTGCACTGTTAATGTCGTACCAAATTGCGTTATTTCATGGCAGCTAAAAGTTGTGTCTTTACAAGCATACATTGAGGAATAACTGGAGGTTACCAAGTTCACTGTGGCATCTGCAGTCCCACACTGGTACTGGCATTAGAGCTGGCTTTGATTTACTGCACTGATGGAAGCTGCTGCACGTACTGAGCCTAGCCTTGCCTGGCACCTGAGACTGGCATTTCTGTGGTTGCTAGCTGGGCTCTTATAAATGGGACATGATTTACCTGAGGAGTCAGGTTGAAAAACCCTCTTAACTGTGTGTAGTGATTAAATTTTTTTAAGAAAATTGGCTTGAAAAATTGCTCTAGAGCTGCTGGGAAAAATAGAGGAACACAGTCTTTTTCATTTCATATATCCAGGGTAAGCCTTTTGAAAGAGATAAGAAATTTATTTTTTACATTATTTTAGAGAGTAACATTGTAAGAATGCAGTTGATTGTTCTCAGGATAGCCCAGAAAGGAAACAAGAACTAATCTAAAATTGAAGGAAAAAAATTAACTAATTACCATTATACTATGTAATGTATTTATGCCCTGGAAAATGCAAGTTTATGGGTAAATCTAATCAAATGTAAGACAAGAAATCATGCTAAATCTCAGTGGATAACTAACTACTAAATTAAAATTCATGGCATAAAATGAACATAATATTCTTAGATAAAGGACCTTCACTATATAATTCTAACATAAATTTATAACACTAACAACTGCTATTTAGGTATTTTTCTGTCTCCTGCTTAATAAAATACATTTATTGGTACTGCTTTGCCCCACCTTTTGGGTTTGATGGACTCTTATTTAGATGTTCAGTGTCAGATGGTGTTGATAACCATGTTATGATCCATGACAGATTTGAATTGCTGCATTTGTGGGCTGCTGCTCTGGGGTTCTTTTTCTAGCTCAAGGCTCATACTCTCAGTCTTGGCAGTCTTGAACTTAGTTTAGAGTATGAAACCTCATAAACAGCTGTAGAAAATTAAACAAGTATAAATATTGACATTACCTCTTGACTTTCTGTCAGGCAGATAGCTGTGGCATACGTCTGCATGTGGAGATCTCAGAAACCTGAGACAAGCTATAACAAATGAACAGTTTTAAAAATGTGATGATTTCTCCTTTGTTTTGATTTATGTACAGGTCTTGTGTCAACTTTGAAATAATGAATCAGAGAATGACAGAATGGTTTGGTTGGAAGGAACCTTAAAGATCATCTAGTTCCAACTGCCCTGCCATGAGCAGGGATGCCACTAGGTCAGGTTTCTCAAAGTTCCATCTAGCCTGGCTTTGAACTCTTCCAGAGAGGGCACATCCAGGGATTCTGGATATCTCATCCCTGGAATGTCAAATACATTGACATTTTGCATTTCCAGAACAGTATGAAATAAAAGAAGTTGTGTGAAAGCCACATTACAGTACAAAGTTGATAGTTAAGTGCTGTTGGAACTCGTGTATAATTAGATACACCACATTTGAGATATAGGCTTTTTAATGTTTTTTTTCAGAATGTTCTTCCTATTCATTCAGCTAGTTTAGCATCTGTACTTTATATTTAACTCTACTGTGACCTAACTTATGAAAAGAACAATGAAATCTTCAGAGATTGATAGAAATCTGATAAAACCTGTGAGGACTTTGTTGCAATTAGCCCAATGCGGATCTGATATTTCATAGAATTACCAATCACATCTAAAGCCCATTCTTAACGGGCCTCAAAGGTCATTTATACACAACTCTGCACACTGATGAACTGATTTTTTCCCCATTTTTTTCCTCATTAAACATCTTGATGATCTCCAGATCATTGCTATCAGACTTTTTCACCTCATGTTTCACCTTGTTTTCCAAACATTTATGAATATGTCAAGCTGTATGGAGTCTACTGTGAGTGCAGGGAGGTTCCTGCTCACTCTTTCCACTAAACTGATAGTCTGGTCTTGCTGTACATCTCTTCTAACAGGGTGGGCACTCACATGAGGATCTTTCTTCTTCCATTCAGCTTAGGCTTTTTGGAGCAATGTGGGAATCTTGTTGAATGCCATTTGAAAATTCACATTGATCAAATAAATTATGTAACAATTAGAACTGGTTCTGTCTTGCCTGTGTGTTTATTTACATCTTCAAAGGAACTTTAATAAATTTATGGGGCACAATTTGTCTTTCTAAAAGTAATGTTAGTACTTTTATACTTCGATTACTTTCATCCTTATGTCTGCAGATTTATTTCATCTTATTATTTCTGCCAGTTTGGCTAACATAAATATATTATTTTCCTGGTCTGTAATTACAGGGCTCCATGCTGTAGACCTTAGAAATAATTCTAGTTTACTTTCTAAATTTTCCATTCCTTTGCTACAAAGTCATTATAAGTAAGAGGTTGCGTGCCTCCGTTAATAATTAAACTATTGTATTCTTTAACTTCTTTAGAACTGTTGGAAGAATACCGTCTCTTCCTGATGACTTTTTTTATCAATTTTGTGGATTTTTGATTGTCTGATCTACTAACACTGTTGTTTGAGACAGATCAACGCTGCCTCTGGTAAAGAAGATACCTGATTTGTAAGTCTGCTTAAACTTATATTTTATGATAAACAGATAGGAAAAAAGTCAATATTTTGCTTGCAAAGTGCTCTGTAAACAATTCTATCCTATCTTACTAGTCATTACTGGATTTTTTTTTTTTGCCTCTTTTAAACATACACAAACTACCCCTCTTCTCAAGATAACTTGAGAAATTTTTCAGCATTTTCAGTGCTGTTGAAAACACTAAGCATTTTGTATCTGGAAATGTGTGCTCCAGGCATATTTCCATAACTGGATGAGTTTGGAAGTTATTGCAATTTAGGAGGATTTTGCTCTAGACTTTAAATAAGTGGGAACAGAATAAAATAACTAAATGAAATTAAAAAGAAGTTAAGGTGAAAGAAGGATCAAACAGAAAAGAATAATATGGGAGAAGGTAGATGTGGATGGTATCTCAGAGGAAATATTGTGGATTTAGAGATTTGAGAATTCAAAAAATGGGTTACTTTGAAAATTGAGTCAGAATGGCATATATGTGCCCTTAAAAAAGGTAGAAATGTTACATTGCTGAGAAAGAGGAAGAAAGGGGAGAAGTACTTAAAGAAGACTATGGACATGCTGTCAGTTAAAATTTTATCTAGATAGTTGAGGAAATTTGTTCCCTAGTAGAATATTTTGCCAAGTAGAAAATGAGTTGAGGTAATTTTGCATTCTTTTAAATGGCATGGTGGTTTTTTTCATGAGAGAAGGTATTACCTTTGGAGCATTTTTTGCCTTTATTATAGTTTTAATAATAAAGTATATTATTATATATATATATATATAATATATATATATAACTATATATATATATAACTATATATATATAACTATATATATATAACTATATATATATATATATATAGTTTTAATAATAACAACTTCACAATATATGTTTGATAGTTTTGAAACAGCAGAGAAGTGTTTCTAAAGTCATGCCTGATTTTTAAATACTTGCAAATAACAGAATATACTGTTAAACTGACTATAACTCATTTGTTAGAGTGGCAGTCATTATAAAAATAGAGAAGACAGTTAATAAAAGTGAAAAAAATGAAGATGTATTTGTAATTAAATAAAAGCTATTTATTGATAGTAAAGGAAAATGTTAAGTTTACTAGAGTTACTTTGAAGCAATTTTAATGTCTGAAATGACACATGAAATGGTAAATATTTCTCTTATAAAAAGCAACATTTTTTCTGGCCATTTCAAAGCCAGGATTAATTGCATGGCCTTTCATTCGTGAATTCAGCATAATGTTCTCTGCAAAGTTAAAAGCTTTTTTCTTTGTCTCTGTGACAGAAAGTACTAGCATTGTCAATTGTTATTCTTGAATGTTAATGAAAATACGTTTAGCTCAATTGCAGTCCACTATATTTTTACATATCAGAATTATAATTTCAGGTTTATTTTCATTTTTTCCCACAGTATATTAATGAAGAATGATGCAATATTAATGCTTTCTATGTACGGCCTTATAAGAATCTTCTTTAAGGAGTTGCAGTAAGACAAACACTGAAAATAGTTTTTCTCTGGTACAATGTGTTGAAGCAGAAGAACTGGAATTGTCCACCTTTGTACAAGCTAAGAAAATGTTTGCTATTTTGTGAGTGGAAGCAGCTCAGGAGTGAATTGAACTTCTGAAAATGCGGCCATGGACTGGTTCCTGGCGTTGGATTATGCTCATCCTGTTTGCTTGGGGAACTTTGCTGTTCTACATTGGAGGGCACCTGGTACGAGATAGCGAGCACCCGGATCACTCCAGCCGGGAGCTGTCCAAGATCCTCGCTAAGCTGGAACGGTTAAAGCAGCAAAATGAAGACTTGAGGCGCATGGCAGAATCTCTCAGGTAGGATCTCAAAGTCAATAAAACTGCTCAGAAAATGTTTGAAATATGAAATAGCAGAATTTAAATTGTAAGGGTTGCTTGTGGGAATTTTTGCAAGATTATATTTCACGTTTAAAAGTATATATTAATGTTTTAATCTGTGCTCTAAGTAGATAAAAATATATTGCAAAACTTCTGAATAAATAATGTACATTTAGTTCTGGTCTAATGTAATCATTACTTAAGAGTCATTTAATGGTGTAGAAGTGTTACTGTCACAATAACAAGAGTTCTGTAGGTGATTCACCCCTCAATGGCAACTTCAAACAAGTGCAATTATTATGACATTGATACAAATTAGAACATCTAGTTCTTTATACTTCTGCATGCAATAATTGGAAGAGCTCATTTTAAAATTGCTGAAAACATTTGTACAGCTTGTTGAAGATAAATGCTGACTTGCTGAAGATGATCTGCAATAGATTGCTGCGTAATACAAATCCTTTTATCTAAGTTTTCTTCCTTGCGTTGCTGCTAAACTTGTAGAAACACTTGTAAAAAAGTAGTATCATCTCCTTTTTTACAATTACACTGAAATATTGAAAATATTGAAAATATAATAGTCATTGAAATATAACCCATGCAACTTACAGTGGCTGGAAGAGAGTAAATGGTTTTACTGGTGGCAGGGTACTGTTTGCCACTCAAGAAGGAGGCAGTAGAGGCAGGACATGCTAAGTAGAGGCTAAACTATATTTTAGGCAGTCATGATTTTTCTAAATACCTTTCAATATTTTACTAACCTTTAGTGAAATGTCTATGTGCAGATAAATATTTCATTTTTGATGAGCAAGGTTTAAGTGATAGCTTATGCTGTTGATAATTTCCCATGCTTTATAAAACGAAAAACCTCAGTTTGCATCTACTTTAAACATGCTACAGTATTTCCACATTCCTTCTCTGTGATTCCATTAATGGTGTCAGGATGCTGGAATTAGATGCAGAACTGTGTGGACTGGACTCCGTTCAGCTTTTTTGGAAATATATTCTTTAGCAATATTTCTGACACATTTCCTCAGAGTGTTTCTATATCATAACCTCAGGAGGATCTGAAATTCTGGCATGAGAAAGCCTAAATGACTTTAAATACCAGTTGAACAGTGACTCATGTCCAGGTTCAGTTGTCAGTGCTCTCCAGGAGTGAGCCAGCTTGAGACTGGAAGACTTCAGGCATAGTTTTTTTCTGGAAGTAATGTGAGATTGCTGAAGTACTGGACTTTGAGGGAAATTATGCATGACAATATAGGGCCTTTCCATTATTTTTACTGTGCCAAATCCTTGGTACTGTTTACTTAGAAACATCAGAAATAGGTTTTAGAAATATCCTGGTAAACCTGTGTTACTAAAGTATTATAATATAATATGGTACAGAATTTCAGTATTTCATTTCTTTGTTTGTCAGACAGAATAAGCTATGTTGAAAATAGCTGTTAGCTTTAAAACTGTCCCATTTCTAGTTTTGTAGCACCGTGTCTGTTTAAAACAAGGCATTAACCAGCAGTCCATGGATTGAGTATCCGTGTCCTGGAAGAGATCACTGCTGCTGTGAGCATACATTATAGGAACAAAACACCTCTTAACTTCAGAAATCCAATTAGACAGAAAAGATTACTTTTGCTCCAGTTTACATCTTAAAGTAAAGATGTAATTTATTTTAGGCTTTATTGATCAAAGACAGAAAGATTGGAACTGTGATTTGAATATGATTTAATTGCTAGAATATTTTGTTTTGTACTGAAAACTTTAATTACTGATAGTGTCAGTTAAATCTGAGTGGTAAGACAACACTCTCTACATCAATAGAGCTCATAACAGGCATGAGGTAAAACTTGATTTTGCTGCCCTTTTCCACTAAGATTTTGTATCTAGAGAAGAAAACAGCGCATTAAAATTTTGTGTGGTTAAAACAGAGAATATATTATAGTATGCAACGGGGCTAAGATCATTGCTGAAATTAAGAATATTCCAAATCAGAACTTAAAGTTACTTGTGGAGGAGTTACGTACGAGAGTGCGTACCTGTAAAATTGGAGCAGTAGACAAACATCTGATTAACAATACTAGTTAATTATACTAGTGAAAGTATTTTGGCACTATTAGATAAAACTTTTGCCTGGCAAAAAGTTCCAAGTTAACAGAATTTACCTCAGTGGGCAAAGAAGTTTTGTGAATGTTACAAAATTATCCTGATGAATAGTTGCTCTATTAATAATAGCTAGTTAGGGCAGGCAGGAAGGGGCAGAAGGCAGGTGTGGTTACAAGAATCAGTAGTTTAGTAAGAGTGTAAGTTGTTTTTTAATTTCCATTTTGAAGTTAGAGAAAATTGATATTTCATCTTTAATTGTTAATTAAAATGGTAAAATGCATTTCAGTACATTTCAGTTGCCTGGACTTTCCCATTATAATGGGTTCCTAAGACTCCCCAGACTTCGTTATCACCTGATAAAAATCTTCTGAGATGGCTGAAAACAGGAGCTGGGCTGTGCTTGTTTGCATCTCTTAATGAATGCCAACATGCAGTGACAAGAAGTGATCTTTCCACCCTGAGATTTGAATCCTCCTTTGCTGCCAATTTATGTGGCAGCCCCTTATGCCCAAAGACAACAACAAAAAAACCCCCCAAAAATCTATCCTTTGAAACATACCTTATGTGCATGCACAGCCAACCATTCAAAACTTGACAAAGATCATATCTGTGAAGAGGCTTTATAAAATCATGCTTAACCCTTTTCTCCTCTGTGATACTTAAATAATATCTGATTTTGTAATTTTCTCCTGATTGCTTCTTTTCACACAAGATGTGTAAGGAATAGAATTAGGGTTTTAGGGCAGGGGTAGGTACGTGTTTGGGTTATTCTGGTTCCTATCTGCTGCAACCGTTTATATGTTTGTTTTCAAAAAATATGTTCTTATGAATTTATGGTTTTAAAAATACTTCTTATTTATTACCCACATTGGTTAAGAGTAGTTCATATTTTTGCAAAGATTTTTGGTGAGCATATTTTTTAATACTTATTTTCTAAGATGTACCTTTGCAAGAGTGCAAGTTAGAACAGTCACATCTTTTTGTAAATGGCCTGAGATTAAAAGTATTCCTTTAGGAACTGAGTCCACTTTTGTGGTGCAATTCTGATTACTTGAAATTGCATCAGGTACCACATAGTTTTTATGTTGTATTTAAAATGCCTTAGGTGAGAAGTTACTGTACTTTTTCTTTTGCCAATATGATGCTTCGTAAAAACCTTGCTTGTGGGCTAGAAAAAAGCACAGATGTATGTTAATGTTGCAGAAGATAAATGGAATGAAAGGTATTTTGTAGTGTGAGTTTTAAAAATTATGTGCATGAATATTGTGGTATGGTGAGCTTGGAGAGTTACCATAGTCTGTATATGGTTATAAACAATATTGTGTGAGCAGATCTGAGTTGATTTTAGAAGCATTCTAGATTTCATTGGTGTAAAATAGTAATAAATCTGAGTTTTTTATAGGTTGTTCTTTCACTATTCTGTATCCAGTAGACCTGGAAGAGCCCTTTCAAGGACACTTATTACAGATGTAGTAGGTGTGACTGCAAAACTGGAAATCTTTACTATAATTTTTGTACTTATTTAAAGGAAACTTGAGAGGTAGTAATAATCAAATCAAAGTATTACATAATGTTGTTTCCTAAAACCAGTAGTTTTACCTAAATGTTTTACTTGCTATTAGGATTATGATATGACTTCCAAAGACTCTCCCTGTTGCATATAGGTGATACAAGGCTTTTAGGAATAGGAGAGGTTAAAATTAGAATTTTTGTAATGTCCCATTTTCTTGCATGGAAACTGTGAAGCTGCGTATGCCTTCATCCTTGTCCCAGCCTTTCTTTATTTTTGCAATACATGAATGCTTCGTAATATTCATGTGCTTCTTTATGTATTGCTGGGTAGTCAATTTTTTATATTTTAGGGTATTTTGATGGAAGATAAACCTGGCAGTTTAGGAACCAGTAATTTCAGAGTTCTCCTCAGGGGAATAGAAAATCTTGTTAAATGGATTCATACTGTGTTCATGTTATGAATACATCACATTTGGACTATATTTCCTTCCTAGACTCTTTTAAATATTGCATTTTGTAGAATCTGCAATTCTTTTAATAAATATGATAGCCTGTTTCTTACTCTGAATTAGGAGTGTGTGTTATAAAGCAGAACAGAGGTGGAAAAGGGCAAAATGTCATCAAACACATAAAACTAAACACCTACATATTATTCTTACAGTTATGTAGCTTCAGAAAGAGGAGATCAGATTTAATTTTGAAAGAGCACTAGAGTTGCTTTAATGTAGCAGGTGCTGAGGCTGGTAGAGAATCCTAACTCAAGATCAATTAATCATAAACAACTCTATTAAAGTAGTCCTGTCAATTACTCTGGGCAATTTTTTGGATCCTTTAAACCTGTAGAAAACATTAAAGGGGCTTGGATAGAAGAATGGTTTTGGGTTGATAAAAATTTAAATACTATAGTACAGTTTCCTATGACATGTATTTAAAATATCTCAAGTTTGAAGCTGAGCTTATTGCACGGTGTGGGAAGAATGATGATAATTGAACTAAATGGTGGCCACCTCTGCTCTTTTTACTGGTTTTTGTGCAATTCTGAGTTAAGGGAAGCAAGGCGTGCAGTGGATATAAATCAGTGCTGATGAGGTCTATGTTGATCTAAATTGATAAGGGATGTTGCTCTTTATTTGCAGATAACATTGACTCTTTCTTTCAGTTTATTTCCTGGGGAGGTTTTATCTTAAGAGGCTGAAGTGACAGCCTGTATTCTTTTTGTTTGTGTGTGCTAGTGGTCATTAATAATTGAACGTGATTTTCTTCTTGGGAAGAGAAAAAAGTGAGAGGGGAAAAGGCAATCATAATATGGCTTTCGGTAGTTACAATCCTAGTTCCTTACAAAGAACTTGGATATAAATGAAAGAATGAGAAAGTATTTGAGTATGAACTAGTGAAATCTTACATTTTTCCTTTTGCTGATAAATTAGTGTAACCTTTTAGATATCTTGGAAATAGGAAAAGGTTAGAATGGTTTTTATAATTTATGGATTTTTAAAAACTATTTTTACAATTATTTTACACAGTATGGCAGTTCTTCTAGCTAAATTGAATGTCACTATGATTAATTTTTAAGGGGTTCTTTTTGCCTTCAGAGATCCAGACTAGAGATCCATTGCTTTGTCATTGCCCCTTTGTCATTGCACCTGAAGGTGATGAGAAAGTGGCCTCAGTCATATGGATTATGTACACAGAATTATTTTTTTAAAATCTGGATTGCTGGCAAAGGACAAAGCAGAAACAGTTTATCTCTACAGCATAATCTTTTTGACGTTTAAAGTTATCCAGTAATATCTTTATTTGATGAGTTAATTATGGGAAAGATAATTTATATTTGCTATCAGATGGTAGGAAGCATGCAAACATCACACCTTTTAACTATAGAGAATTGAAATAAGCTTTGTTTATTAGCTTGATTGACCATTTAAGTGGCTTATAATGATGTTTATTTTGGATTCATAACCTAATTACAGTTTTACCATAGTAATAAGTGAAGGATACTCTGTACTAGATGCTTACTGATGTGTTTTTTATTACTGCTTAGAATCATCCTAGTTTAGATAAATTTACTTTAAACTCACTTCTCATATTTTAAGGAGTAAAATAGTTGTCAGGACTTTGGTAAGAATTCTTTTTCCCATAAGAATTCCTGTTTTTCAACAGGCATTCTTATTCATGAGTATGCATAATGACTAGGATATTCTGCACTAGAGGTTACCTGCATGGATGCTATGAGACTAGACAAGGATTTTAATTCAAACACTTTTCCCTCAAATGTTATATCCAGCTCAGCTGAAGTACTTGTAGAGGGTAATAACTGCCAAGCTGTGCTGGTTGCAGAGAAGAATCTTTTCCCTAATTTTGAGACTGGATGAAAGTGAGGAAGACAGCAATTCCAAGTCTGATGAGGTAACAGATGTAGAGACACAACTGGAAAAAGAATAAGCTATCTTCGTTTAATCCTAAAATGATGTGATTTTTGGAAGTCTAAGCAACTAGCTTAGAGACTGTCCCTGCCTCCCACCTCTTTTATCTAACAGTCTAAGTATAATAAAAATTTTTATTGCAGTGTGCCAAAGCAAGAAGAATGTTAAATGGCAAAATGGTACTTTTCTTTTTAAGATCTTAATTATATCAAATGCTTAACATTACTGTGCTTCTTTCATATCATCCACAACCATCCTTCTGTAGGATTCTCTAATTGCTACTTTACAGACTTTCCTTATGCTAAGAGGATGTGTGCACTGTCTCAAACTGCTTATGGTAATGATTTTCTATCCTTGCACCCTATTGTTCCTCACAGACTCTACTTTTAGGGTATGTGACTTGTACAGGATAAGCTCTTTCATTTTTTTTTGGCAATTTTTTGGTTAGTTGTTCTTTAACAACTCAAATTGTGGTACCAAGCTGGCAGATCACAAACACATTTCCATCTGGTGGTTTTAAATTAGTGTAAGAATGTAAATGTCTTTCAATATACTTTTTAAAGGCTTATTTGTATTGTCTTGTACATGGCAATCCAATACTCTATCTCAGTAGGATATAACACCATACATTTGTTGTAGAAACAAATTTTCAAATTGATTGTTGAAACAGATTATATTTAGGGAGTGCACATGCTTAAGATTAGGATATTTTACACAGTTCTGACATGCTTGTTCCATCATTGCATGGAAAAGCAGATGTACAAGCAGTTAATGATAATTCCTTTTTGTTTACCATGGTAGTTTTAGAACACAAATATTTTTTTCAGTAATTTGATTATCCCTAGTAGGATTGGGATAGGATAGCTTTAGTGGGAAGCTTTAAGACTGCAGAGTTTTTTAGTAAATTTCTGTCAGGCTATGTAACTGCTCCTTCCTCCGCCTCTCCTACTCCCTTCTGAAAAAACATGCTTGAATGCTGTGCTTCATGTGATGCACTTTTCTGATGCTCACATTAGGTGTTCTCTTCACCTGTTCCAGGGAAAATGAACTTTTCATCAGTCCCTGAAATTTTATTGGAATTTAGTTATCCAGACCTGAGAGACACTAAAGAAATAACATCTCAGTAGGATATTTAGAATGCTTGAATTTCTTTTTTACAGGGAAGATGCTCCCTCAAACCACTGTTTTCTCTATGCCAGAGGCATCTTTTGTCTGTCAAGGACTCTTCCTGTGCATGGTGCTGTGAAACTCTGTGTGTTTGTGTGTGGAGAGAGTATCTGTTTCTTTTTATGCTCATATTCCTCTATGAAAGAAGAATCATCTTCATATTTTGCAAGAATTCTGTATTCTTTGCAGTTCTAAAGACTTCTCATTGCACATATTTTTCTTTCTGGGGTCAGCTCTTACAATATAAAATGTGGAATAATTTTTAACCAGAAGGGTAATTTCTCTTGAAATGAAAAGGGTTTTTAATTTCCCTGCATTAAATTGGAGGCAAGAAGATGTTAGCATCTAATTTTTAAACATTAATAATTTTGCTTTATTAATATATGGATTCAAGTTGAGATGATGAACAAACTTCACTAATGGCCTCAGGGCTGATTTATGGCCCATAGATTTCAGGATATGTGTTTCCATACTTCTCCTGTGCTCACATATCAGAAATTTAACAGATGGATGTTACAATTGCTGATGGTTTTTTAGGTGATCTACACTTCAGAATACCAGAGTTGTCATAAAAAAATCATGATAGTGGTACATTTAAGATGGTTGGATCTTTTTCTGAGTCCAGGCAATACATGGAAATCATCCTGTGTGGATGTGTAGGAAGACATAACTGGAGATCAAGTGCTGGAGCCCTGGTTCTCCTAGAAGATATGGCCAGGGCTCAAGAGCAGAATGGATTTGTTTGTGTGCCAGTCAGGTTAACAGTTAAACTGCCACAGATATTATTTTCACAAGCAGAGCCTTGGATTGTTCTTGTTGGTGAGTGGAAGTCTTGTAAACAACACAGTTTAGGGTCAGGACCTTGCAGCTGTGTTGTGCACTGTTTTTCTCCTATGGGATTGGGCTTTTAAAATCTTTATGTTAATATGTTTAATTTCTTCTGGTTGTAAGGAATTCTGATGAAGAATTATCAGTACAACAGTATGAAATAAAAAATTAGTGGAGACCTGAATTGTTAATGCAAATTTATCAAATAATTATATTTATAAATCATGCAATTTCTTTATTTTCTGTATCCTAGGATACCAGATGGTCCCATTGATCAGGGACCAGCTGCAGGAAAGGTACATGCTTTAGAGGAGCAACTTCTAAAGGCCAAAGAACAGATAGAAAACTATAAGAAGCGGACAGGAGATGGTTGGTAGATGATTTTTCTTTTAATTCTAAAGCAAGTTTTGATGTTTTGCTATTTCATATCACAGATGTATTGGCTTCTTAACAAATAATTCAGCTACAATTACTGATGCTTTTATGCATTTTTTTTTTAAAGTAGGTGGCCTTGGAAAAGACCATGAAATACTGAGAAGGAGGATTGAAAATGGGGCTAAGGAGCTTTGGTTTTTCCTCCAGAGTGAACTGAAGAAGTTAAAAAATCTAGAAGGAAGCGAACTGCAAACACGCATTGATGAATTTCTGTCTGATTTGGGTCATCAGGAAAGGTACTTTCATTAGTTGGTTCTGACCTTTAATTTAACTATCATTATATTATTCAAAGATGTGTGGCAATTATAGTTTTCATTGTTGTCAATCATCAGGCCTCCTTATTGTTGGAGTACCTTTTGTATTTTATTAAAATATTCTGCACGAGTTTTGTTTGTGCTGAACAAAATTAATCCAAGAACTGTTAAAAATTCAGTGACATATGTCTGTAAGCATATTATAACTGTTCCCAACAGGATTGCAATGACAGTTTGTGTCTCATCAGTAAACAGTTATACAAAAATAGCTGAATTGACTAAATACACTACCTTAAATCGTTGCCCTGAAAAAAAGCTGTGATCTCTATATGTGAACATCTGTAATAAAGCAAGAGCCTTTGAAAATAATATAGTAAAGGGAAAAAATCATAAGAATTTTCAATTCCTTAGAAATAATGCAAACACTATTTAAAACATAAAGACAATATGAATTTGGTTATTAAGATGGGCAAATAGTATAGTCCATTAAATTTTGTAATTTAATATTCCGCAATTCCAAAATCCATTTTGTCACAGATTGATTGAGTTGAAAGTGAGAAGGGACTATTCAATTATTGAGAGTTATTATTTATATAGAAGACATGATTAAATGTCATCCAATTAGTTCTCTGCCAAGTGCTGTTTTATATATTTGACTGAAATAAAAGTAGTGCTTGGCTGAAGTGGAATTTTCCAAAAGACTTGAGGTCTTCACTTGAACAGTGAATTGGCAGAGAAGTGTCACTTCCCTGGGCAGTTTCAATAGTTATCTCCTCTTAGAAATATTTTTTTCCACAGAACTTATTTCCATCTGGGCTTCTTGAACTTTAGGTCATGGATTCTTATGTACCTTTTAAACTATCTCTGCTAAAAACTGGAGCAAGTAGTCTAATACCAGACTTTCTGACGTTTGTCATGGTAACAGAATCACTTATGTGCATGTTATTGCTCTGTTTGTAAAGCCAGGATGAGGCAGTCACCACAGTGAAACTTTGAATAATGATGTGTGTGTTTGGTGCCAGAAGGTTCTTATGTTGCTGCCTTCCAGGATGAGTTCTTTCCCTTAGTCCTTTCCATTGTACGCCAATGATTATTAATTCATTAAGTCTTAATTTTCCACCTTGACACCCTTATGTTCACATGTCACTGTACTTCAGGATGAGGTGAAACCCATTTGGGAGGTGCATAAACTCCTTCGCATGGAGTTATAAAACTGCCCTGTAGACCTCTGGAAGTTGAGATGAATCTCACTGTGGTAGTGAAACAAGTTTGTATATGATGCAAGCAATCACAACTACTCTTTTTTTTTTCCTCTGAGAATTTTTGTGTTGAGTACAAGTATTCTTTCAGTTGTCCAGGTGGTTATTAAATGTAGAATAATCTGAAGGCTGTTTAGTCTTTGTAATAGATCTGTGTAGATCTTCCTATCTGGTGAGGTCCTCAAAGAAGACTTAAGTAATTTAAGCTAAAATCAAACAGCCGTAAACTAGTTTTTATTAAACTGAATCTAGACAATCTGTTTGCAGTGTAAAAATTCAAAGGCATTGCATTAGAAAAAAACAGATAAAAAATGTTTCTACGATATTCAGCCTGTGTTCCTGCTGCATTTGCAGTGTTGCCTTCAAGCAGTAGAATTATATTGTGTTGCAGAATGCACAATTTGGTTCCTCTAGTCCTGAGGAAGCTTTTTCCTGCACCTTTGTGGTCGAGCTGTCTCCTTCTTTCCCTTTAATGTTTCAGTGTTGTTGTATGAATTGCAGGAAGATTCCCGGTCTGTGTGCACATCCTTTGGCATGTGATGCACTGCTGCCTCTGGGGTCTTCTTTGCCCTTACAATGCACAGTACCTCCCCAGGGAAGGAACAGTCTCATCTTCCCTCCACACTGTCCATCTGCTTGCTTCTCTAAAGGAACAGAGCATAAGTTTGGAATGAGCAAATCAGATGTTTGTCATTCACTTTGAGAAGCATGGGTTTTTGCTTTTTTTTTTTTTTTTTTTTTGGGGTTTTTTTGGTCTGTTTTGGGTTGGATTTTTTTTTGTTTGGTTTTTTGTTGTTTTGTTTTTTACTTATTGTCTGTTTTGTTTGTTGGTTTGATCTTTTAAGTACATGTGCGCTTCTTGAATTTTTTTAAAGGAATTAAACCTGTTGTCAAATGCTCTTTTGTTTACAGTGTTGTCTTTAAAAAGTTATATTTTAGATAAATGGAACACTGCAAGTGCAGCTGGTATTACTTTTATACAAATACATGCACATATACATAAAGATATCTCAGAAATTTTAATATATATTATAATCTACTGTTTGGATTAGAAAGATTACTGTTTATTATAAGTACTTAAAGGAGTTTTTCATGCTGTCCTTATGTGGGAAAACAAAGAGGTGGGTATCAAATGATGAGGTACCTATGTAAGGAGAGAGGTTCATGCTTATTTTGTTTTGTTGGTGAGGAAAGCCTTCTGGGTCATAGATTAGGACTTGCTTTTTAAGAGATTATAAACTTTAGTTTCTCTGATTCTGGACAAATATTAGAGTTCTTTGTTAATTTTGGTGATGTTAAGCAAATTGTTTACTACTCATATGATAGTGCTTCTTGTTGGATGCTTTAATCACTGTTGGCTATGCCCTAGGAGCTGTGTGGATTTTCTCCAGGGCAGTGCTGGTCTCACCTAAGTATTTGTCAAGTATTTCAGTACTGATTCTGTTTGAGAAACAGTGTTGCCCAACACAAGATTTTCCTTGAGAATTACATAATTGTATTCTCAGAGTTGCTATAGGAAAGGGGGCTGTTGAGAGTAAATTCATCTAAACATTGGAAAGACTATTTAATATTGAGTTATTAAAACAGAGCAAATTAATCCTCTAGTTGTCATGGTTGTTTCCTGTGTTGACAAATGTTGTTTGCAAGGTGGCTGTTACTGAGTTAGTTTCATTCCTTCTCCCAGGGAGTAGCTGTCATCAGGGATTTTGTGGTAACTGACCAACATTTGATGCACAGTATTCGGAGAAATTTTCACATTATTTCCTTTGAATTACATATTTTCCTTGGAGTTTTTATTTGTTGATGTAAAATTTTAGGAGATTTAAATTTTTTCATATGACTGGAATAAATGTCTAGACTGATTGTTAAAAACGCCCACACTTCCCCCCTTTTTTTGGCAATCAAATACAGATGAAACACAGACAGAGTTTTTTTCCTCCATTCTGCTTTCCAGGAAAAAAAGACTTTTAAGTGCAGCTCCAAGATTTATTTTATGATATGAAGCAACAACAGCAACAAGTTGATGTTGTTGGTTAGTAGCCCAGAGCAAGTGTGATGCAGCAGATATCTGCAGTGCCACTGAGTGAGGTTTCCTACCATTTCAGCACCTGCAGTAGCCTCTAATAACCCTGTGCAGGCTCATCCTTTGTCTGCACTGAGCTATCTTGGGCTCACGGGTCACCTCTCCCTGTGCTTTTAACTCTCGGAGCATGACCCGGTGCTTTGGTATTTGCGTCTCTTCTAAGTCTGTATTAATAAGTTATCACAGTGATCTGTCACACTCCAAAAACCTTAGCAGATGTAGCTAGAAAATGCACTTTTCTGAGCAGTAACAATCAAAGAAGAAAGGACTCTGTGACTGTGTCTTAAAATAGCGCTACTTTCTCATCATTTCTGTGTGATAACACCTGTGAATTTTTCACTTCCCGGTTTACTTCAGGGTTTTATAATTTTTTTTAAAGGAGATTATGGATACTGTCTGAAAACTCTTTCATGAATTTGTAACATTTCCTGCAAATCATTTGATACTTTTTATGGTTTCTACTGAGCAAAGCTGCCTTTATTTAATGTGATGAGTCACTGAGGCTGTGTAAGGACACTCACCCATTTCTCTTACCTCAAAAATTATCAAAGTAATTATAATTCCTCCATAAGGCTAATTATTAAAACTTAGCTACTGCCTTTCCTTTGTCGTGGTCACCATAGCCAGTAATATAAAAAACAAAATTTGGGCAACACTTTTTTTCTGTAGAAATAGGAAAAATTAGTTAAGAGCTGACAAAATTTTTATTGTTGTTTTTTAATTGGTAAACTTTGTATTTTCGGTTATTTTCCCAATATTTAATGGAAATATATTTCTATAAAATATAGGGAGAGTACACTGATTACTTGCATCACAGGTACTGAAATGACTTAAGGCTAATGAAAGAGCATTTGAAAAAGGTTTAAAAAAGTGGCTATGTGGTTGCATGGCTGCTTTTAATGAAAGAGGATTTAAAATAAAAATAATGTTTGAACCTTGAAACCTTGACTTTGTATTTTTTTGTTAAACACCCAACTTGGTTACATCCTGATTGGGAGGAAAAACATATTTAAACTCCTGAGAAAATGCATTGGTTTCCTTTTCTAGTATGCCTACTAGCCTATGTGTTTTCTATAAATAGGGAAACCGTCTTAAGAGCAAACCCTTAATGTGTCCAGTTATCTGTATATAATGCATTGTATCAGAGCTAATCCATCGTTAGGTCTGTTCTAATTCTCTTTGAACTGTGTGTGCATGTTACTGTATTTTGTGTCTTTAATAGTTCCTGATTGAAAACTAGTTACCTGGTGATGCTTAAAATTAATTTTTATGCAAAGCCACAATGGGGTGTTTCAAGCTCAATTACCTTGTAAAAGAAAATCGACTTTATATAGTTTCAGATTACAATGTAGATAAAGTTCCTGCAGTTGATTGACAGAAGGTGAGGATTACTGCTGCTGAATAATTTGGGTAAAATGTTTAATACAATAATAGTAGATGCTATAGTCAGTGTCTCTGTTACCCTGTGTAGAAGCATAAGGATAAAGACCAGAATGAGAATAAAATTACAGATCCATAAATCCAGTTATTAAATTAGCAAGAAAAGTTTATCTGATAACTCTGCTGATAAATCAAGTTAGGGCACCTCTATCTTTATCTCGATGTTTTCTGCTTCAATATTGGGACATTGAAGTAGTTTACTAGTAGGGAAGTGCAGCCTCTCAATTATGGACACGGGGCAGCCTTGGCTAATTGGATTTGTGCTTCCAGTGCTAACAAGTACTGCCAACAGCTTGACAAGACCACTTCAGATGTTGCTAGGAAATGTATTTTTCTTACCTTCAGACTGTTTTTTGGTCACCTTCCAAATTTCTCTGCCTTTGTTCTGCTGCTTCTCTTTCTAGTGCTCCAACTTTTGGTTTATCAAGAATTTCAGGCAATAAAAGCAGCATCTGAAGTTCAGATGAAAGTATAAAGAGAAGTGGTTCAAACTTATAACTTTAGCATTGTTATGGAGATATGTTTAGCAATATTAAATATTCTCAATCTATGAAACCTGCTCTGAAATTAATGCTTCTGAGTTGGGCCATCTTTTACTTTTAGAATAACTGTTAACATTTCTAGAAACACTTTGAATAGTTTGTCTCTAGTTTTCTATTTCTTCCCAAAAGCCACAGAGATTAAAAAAAAAAAAAATTCCAGGGTGGTACTGTTTGGACAAAATCAGTAATTTTAACTTAGCTGCAAATTTTAACAAATGCTGTATATAATTTTTATTTTTGTGATGATGAGTTCTTTATCCTTGTATTTGGCCAATGAAATGTTATAGCCCTAAGAAGAGAATCTCTAATGTATTAGATAATCTCAATTTAATATTTCACAGTTCTTCAAAATTCATGTTTTGTAGTGTGGACTTGCATGGCCATGAGTCTGTTTAGAATTTCTAATTTTTAATTGCTGATGGGTGTGGAACATTTGTTATATGAAGGATGCAGTCAGTCTAGCTTGGCTGCTGTTTGAATTGCGCAGAAGGAGATGGGATGAAGAAACTGATTTTGAAGCTGCAATTGAAATACCTCTTTAATTTTCTTTGATTTAATTTAATGCTCCAAATTGTTAATGTTAAGATTGTTTTCTGCTGTTGTTTATAGGTCAATAATGACCGACTTGTACTACCTCAGTCAAACAGATGGAGCTGGAGATTGGCGAGAAAAAGAGGCCAAAGATCTAACAGATTTGGTACAGAGAAGAATAACTTATTTACAGGTAAGAGGATAGAGCTTTTGAATCAAGGGAAACATTTTTTTCTTCTTGCATCTGTAGCGCTTAGCTAAACTTTGCAATAGAATAATTACATCACTGTTTAAAAGTGAATGTTGGTATGTGAAGGAATTATGTGGAAAATAAATTATTACATTTGTTTCAAACATTATTTTATGTGTATAGGGAAGGGAATATTCAAAGGAAATCATTGGGGTTTGTATTTTTGTTGTTGGCTATTTTGGTTTATTTGTTTCTTTGTGGGTGTTTTTTTGGATCCATGTTTTTTTCTGGGCTGTACTTACCTATTTCAATTCTTCACTTTATTGTAAAAAAAATTGTCTGGTTGATTTTTTAAAATTTGTTTTATTCTTTAGAGTATCAAAACACATTAATTTGTTTGCATAGTTTTAAAACAAAATTTAAAAGTCCTTGTATCAAACTTCTGAACTAGCAGCACATTTTTAAAAACATAGGGAAGCAAAATTGAAGTGCTTCTATAGTGTATTGTCTAGTCCTAGATTGTTTCAACAGATGTTTGAGACTTCTCTAGATGCTCATATTTTTGAGTTGATAAGGACTTTTTAATATGCGTGCTTGTTTGTGTGTGAATAAAATCTAAATAAAATGTGATCTGAAGGTGTTGGGACTTTTTTCATGACTGAATGCATGCAGCTATTTATGTACTGATCAAAAAGATACTTAATTTAGTCTGTTTTATTCGTACTTGGTTTATTTTTTATGGCATGTGTGGAGCTGTTTTGTATGGTCACTCCTAATGCCCAATCTTTTCTCTTGTGTAAATAGCTGAATTTGTTTCTCAGATTCTCATTATTTCACAGTTCAGCTGTTAGAATCTTCTCTTCTGTGACCAAGCTATGTATATGTTGCTTGTGAAATAAAAAAGACAGCCTTCTGAGGAAAAAACCATCTCTCTAAATTGTGCAGGAGTCATCACTTTTATTGTACTTCTTCAACTCCTTTCTGAGAACTGTTCCTTATTTTTTAATTTTGATACCACTGTTTGGCAATAGTATATCATAGCTACTTTTCATGCTGATAAATGTAGCCTTTCTCTACCTTTTCCTTGTCTTTCACTTTCCATTTGTTGTCCTGTTTAGTAACATAACTGTGCAAGTCATCAAAAAGAGCACAAAATTATTTGCTTTAACAAATATGCACCAACGTAAAGCAGTCAAATGGTTTGAAATTGCACACATTTATATACCTCTATTAATAATAAAATAAAATGAAAAAATTTAACAACCCTTGTCCCTGAAGTTGATGCAAAAAAAAAAAATTATATGGGCCATATTTGTAATTGTTTTTTAGTTAAGTATGAAAGTACTGCATAGCTTTTTTCTGGTACATGTTGAACATTGACAGCTGCATTATTTTGGGACATCTCCCTGGGAAGTCATTCAGCTGAATGATTGCGAGTAGTGATGACTGCTACTTCATTTGGATGATATTACCATAAATTTGATTTAATGAGGCTACATGAAACTAGTTTCCTATAGTTGGAGCAACATTTTAAAAGCTAGGACTTTATATTTAAGGAAAAGGCCTTATTTTCAGAGATCTTTTTTATCAAACAGGTGTAGAAAATGTGCAAGAGAAGTCAGATAAGATCACCCGTAGTGCCGTAATCAAGTGAATAAATAATTATGAAGGCAGCAGTTTTTTGTCCCTTCTCTTTTGTGCCTATTTTTGTTCTGTTTATTTTAGGAAGTTTGTGATTCAGCATGCAGTCTCACAATAGCAGAATATTTTTGCCTCTGATTTAAAAAGAATCCAAAACTTTTTGTTCAGCTTTGAAGGTTAAAAATGCAATCAGGTGAGAAAGGTTACTAAGTACTCAACAACACTTCAATTCTATTAGTCATAGTTTGCCATATTCAAGTCATATTCTGCTATACTATTTATTTGGGGCTTTGTATGTATGCAAAGAGCAGAAAGTTGGTCACAAGACTTTTTTCTGAGCTTTCTGGACTTTGCAGTATTTTTGTGGTTTAATGTGTCACTTAGATTTTTCTGTCTTAAAGTGTATTAAATCCTCTCCTTCACATTAAAATTACTGATTAATATTTTTAATAAAAGTCCTCATGCTAAAATGACAAAAGCAATAAAAAATGCTTTGGGCACTTTGCATGCATGCAAGGGGAGGCACCCCATAGAACTGTAATTAATCAAATCATAAGTATATTATATGTTTTTAGTATAATAACCACCTAAGGAAGTGTGGTTACTGCTGATATCTGTGTGAGGTTTTCTCTAGGATTGAGGAACATACTGTGTTAAAGTCCATGTGCATGCTGGGATGTTTCACTGAAGCTGAAACTTGCGTGTCACAGAAGGGTAGGTGTAAACTAGAGGAATTTATATTAGAGGAAGGTTTGAGATCTCTGACTCTCAAATCAATTACCTACTATTTCTGACTAGGGAGAGAAGAATGTTTTCTTCCCGGAGCTGAAAGAAATTTCTGGTGGTTTGTTTGGATTTTTTGTTTCTTCGCGTGGTCTGCCTCCAAATTCTTGAGGGGAGCTGGGGTATGAAAAGGAAGGATTACAAATGACATCACAAAATAAGGGGAATAGAAGATAGTATTAATTACGTTTGTGATAACTAGGATGAGAAAAACCAATTTTTGACATATTTCTCTAAAAAATGGGATTTTCTAAGATTTTGAGTGGGACTCTCTTCTCCAGCAGACTGTGTAGCATCAAAGAATAAAATATCTGTTGAAAATATAAAAAAAAGAACAGCTTTGTTAATGAGTATCATACTGTGTTTATAAGGTTGCTCAGTAAATGGTAGCAGATTGCTTGCCCACTCCACTCTAATCTGTTGTGATTCATTTGATTAAGTACATTTCTCTGAACTGTGTTCAGTTCTCTGAACTGTAAATTCACTAGCACAGTATTTTCTCATACAGTAAAATGTATGTTAAGGAGCAGGGTTTACTTTTGCCAGTTTGTGGTGTGTTTTGATGGCTGACTACACACTTGAAAGCGCTGGAGGATGGTGAGGCATTGAGGCAGCACTTGGGACAATATTCCCACCTGATCCTGCTTTCTGTGAATAGGCCAACCAAGAGCCCTGGAAGAGGAGTACAGTGGAAACCCTGAATTTTGTGAGAGCAACAGTATATGCCCATGTTCTTTGTGATGGAAGACCATTAAGTCCATCTTACCAGTTGAAAAATCTGCTTTTATTTTAGATGGTATTCTCTTTCATAGAAATAGGTAATTCTAACCATTTTGCTATTCTGAAAATTTGTTAATTTTTTCAGTTGCATTGTTCGTAGAAGTTATTCTGGGGAAGATAAAAGGTGTAAACTCTGGAATGGCTTGATGATCTAATCTTCTATATATTGAAGTATGTTTTGTGTAATTGGACAGGTGTAGGTTTTTTGTTTGGGATTTTATGTGGGTTTGTTTAATTTTTGTTAGGATTTTTTTGGTATTTCTTTTTACTGCAGTTTTATGGCTGTTACATTACAGGACTTGACATTCGTGGAGGTCCCTTTCATCCCTCTCTTGATTATATAGGTCATTAAATTGGAGATAGGAGTGTGATCAGCAGTGTCGTTATGGTTGAGAACAGAATGTACTACCCACTCAAATCAGGGATTTATAATTCTTTTCTGTGACTTTGTGACAGGAGGAAAAATCTTTTGTCAGTCTTCATTGGTTTTGAAATTGTTCTTTATCAGCTCAATATTGGTTGCTTTGGTTGGCAGTTGTGGTTATGAACACCCAAACTATTCTGATGCTTGAAATGCGACTTTTCTTCCTTATCAATGGGTAGTATTTTCACCTTTTCCTGGAAACCAGTTGAAACTGCAATATATCCAAGTATCTCTACTCTCCTTTTCTTTTAAAATTCTCAATAGACAATTGAAGCTCAGGTAGTGCTTTTTCTTTTTGCTACTTGAATATAGCAATTCGAAAAAACACCACAGTCATAAAGAAATTAGTTAAATAGCTTCCTTAAGTCACAAACTAATATGTATAGTTTTTAGTTAAGTCTACAAACAATGATAAATCCCAAGTAAGTGCATTATATTAACATTGATAAGCAGTCACACTATCAAATTACATTTCATTGTGTGATTACTACTTGATTTCCATAATATTGTTCATAAGCTATTATATGAAGTTTTCCTTTACATGAAAGAAAGTGAGAAGGGCATACCTTGACAATATTTCAAATATGCCATTGATTAAATGCTTTCATTTTAGAGGACAAAAGCATTTAGAGGTAATGACAAGGGTAGAAAGCTTATCTAAGGTCATTTTCTAAAAATTCACAGACATTATTCCATTCCAAAAGAATAATGTTGTAGCTTTACCCAAGCTGGTAACAAATACCCACCAGACACTCCCTTGTCCTTCCTGGTAGGACAGGGAGGAGAAGAAAACCCAAAAAAAAAAAACCCCAAAAAAAACCCAACACAAAATCCAAAAAACCCCCGTCAAAAAAAAAACAAAACAAAAACAAAACAAACCACAAAACAAAAAAAAAAACCCAAAACCCAAACCACCCGCAGAAAAACCCCATTGTGTGTTGAGATAAGAACAGTTTAATAACTGAAACCAAGCAAAATATGATAATATTAACGACAGTAGTAATAATAAAAATATAATACTGCTGATAATCACGATATGAGAACATATTTTTTCATGGAGTTTTTTCTATGTGGACTTCTACAGAATACTAAAAAGGCCTTCTTTCTCTTCTGGAAGACTCTGGGAAATACATTTGTTATAATTTCAAAAGATACCTGTTGGATTTAGTCTCAAGTTATCCATTAAATTTGTGATGACAAAAGTACTGGTCTGAGGAATAAAAATCTTGAACAAAATTTTTATTTCATTTATTGTTTTCATACCTAATTAGGCTTTGAATCAGGTATATTTAAAAAGAAAAATATAAACTGCTTATGGTATAGCACATGTTTCAGAGTTTTGGATTTGTTTTGGTACCTCCACCCCTCCCTGTCTGAATTGTCATCCCCTCCTTTACATAACTGAATGCACAAAGTTTTATTTTAAATTGTTTTAGGATTCAGAACATTCAGATTATCTTTTAGATCGCTTGAAGGAGTGATCTCAGTTCTCCGGACAGGGATCACTGTTGTTTGAAGATTTGATTTGACTGTTGCAAATTTACAGAAAATTTTATTTTTAGTGTAGGTGTGAAAGAAACAGAAATTATATTGGTGCTCCAATATCAGTATCCTTGTACCTTATATGAAATGTTAATCCTGGAGATTTTGTGGAAGACCTTTCTGGAATTTAGAGCTATGTCTAGAGCCATGCAAGTATGAATACATACAAAAAAAGTACTATCTTTTACGTAAAGAAAAACTTCTGTTGATTATGATGTTGTCTTGTCCACATACCTGGAAATTCCACATGCCTAAAAATATTTATTAGTTTGTACTTTTAAACATAGCATTCAAACAATGTAGTCATTTGCCCGCTGTCTTATGGTTTTTTGGTTTGTGGAAGTGAAATATGTTATTTTATGGAAAGTGTATGCAGATTACAATTCTGTCCTTTATCATTCTGCTTGGGAATGTGTTTTGCATTCTGTATTTGCTATGTGGTCAGCTAGCCTGGGAAGCAGTCCCTTAATAAGTATTTGTTTTATTCTGTACCATTTGTTTTATTCTGGATGTTGTAGACAGGTGGAAATTTTCTTTCATTGGGTGACATACATACTTATTGAAAGAGAACTAACAAACTTGAAAAATTGCCAAAGGAAAAAGCATTCTAACACTGAGAATCATGTTGATGAAATGTGAGCTCGGAGTCCAAATGTTGTCTTTTTCTGACAGATTTACAAATGAGAAAGTAATTTAAAATCTTGAATGTATTCTATTTTATATTAGGATAGTGAAGTATGTTCAGTAACTGTTCATGCTCGCAGTGAAGAATTCACATAAAATTTTCATGGAGCTGAAGCTTACTCATCCATTTTAGTCGGAGATGTGTTATAGCAGCGCGGCTTCTGTGATTTATGACATTTGCCAGTTTTACAGAAAAACGCAAGCCTTTGGTGTAGCTTCTCTTCAGCTCCACTTTCTCACCCATCCTTACAGAACCCGAAGGATTGCAGCAAGGCTAAGAAACTCGTGTGTAACATCAACAAAGGCTGTGGCTATGGCTGCCAGCTTCACCACGTGGTGTACTGCTTCATGATCGCGTACGGCACGCAGCGCACGCTGATCCTGGAGTCGCAGAACTGGCGCTACGCCACGGGCGGCTGGGAGACCGTGTTCCGGCCCGTCAGCGAGACCTGCACCGACAGGGCGGGTGCCACCACGGGCCACTGGTCAGGTAAGGCTGGGTGGGCCGCCCTCGGCGCTCTTCCTGCTTCTGCGCACCTTCGTTCCCATGGAATTAATCTGTTGTCTCCTTCGTGTTGTGTGCAGCATGATAACTGTGGCTGCAGCTGGGTATGTAAGCACCTTTGCATCTTATTTGCCCACTGTAGTTAAAAACAAATTCCTTCATAAGATAGCTCTGCATTGGTAGAGTCTTTATAGTACAAAAGTTTAGTATTTGAGACTTAAATTGCAAATTTTCAGCAGGGTGCTACTGTGTTCTCTGCTAGATATTCTGATTTTCATGGGAGGAGAGTGTTAAATAGAGGCTGCTGTTAATAAACTTCTTAGGAAATAAGGGATGTTTCCAATATTAAGCAACTGAAATATAAAACAAATGGTGTCCGATAGTCACACCCCAACAAAATAAACAAATAGTTGAAATAACTCCTAATGCAAGCTGAACAGATCCAAAATTCATGCTATAAAAACAATGCCAATGTTAAAATATGAATTTTTATTTGTATGTCAGCAAGTCGGTTCTTTCTTACATCATGCTGAGCAATTTGCCTAGAGTTAGATGGACACTGATGTTTGGAGGATCAGGTAGCTTTGTTTGTGTCCAAGTAAACAGTGTTTGTTTTAAATTGCTTCTTTCTCCATGTGATTGGTAGTCAAAACATAACATCTTCAGTCTTTTCACTAGGACACTGCATACCCAGTGCATATGGAATCTTAAATTAACTCTTAAAATTTTACAGATCTGAAATTAACTTAATCAGATTTACAAAATCCGCTTTTTTACAGGTTGCATGTAAACTTGTGGGTTTACTCATTGAATCAGCATTTGCACATTGAAATAGCATCTGTTCTTCAGAGCTTCAAGATGCTACAAAATTAGCTTTGAGAATGCTAGTTAGTTTTTGTGAATGAGATTTTTTTTTTTGCAAAAAGTGTTTCTTAGGAATGGTTGGATGTTTTATAAAAACAGCTATAAGTGGAGAACAGATATTGAGAACTCCAGATGAAGTTTTATTTGTGTTTGGATAAGTTAGTAAGTGAGTCTATAGTCTGGACATGGTTCTCAGTGTGGACTCCTATATGTGACTCCAGAATTTAGATGCAGGCAGTTTTGTGAACAACTTCAGAGCCCAGTAAGCTGGAAAACAGTTCACTCATGCACACATGGCTTCAAAAGGTCATATATTTAATGAAAATCTATTTAAATAGATGATGGTTTACTGCAATGTAGGCTTTTGCTGGTGAAAATAAAAATAATGTTTTATTTTAGGTTCCTAAGTGAGGGTACTTATTTTTTTTCTTTTTTTTTCTTTTTTTTTTCTTTTTTTTTTTTTGCTTTTCAATTAGTTCCTAGATCAGAATGAATAATTTGAAGGCTGAGCACATGAAATACCCTGATGAAATCAATTATTTTTTAAATAATGAATGCCACTAATTTGAGTTTTGGTGTTGTAGAGATAGAGGGCTATGAAAGACAAACTTTCTGTAGTTGGTGTGTTGGCCAGCCATGCTATAAACTGTGTTAAATTGTGATCTTGTGCAGTGGCTTGGTCAGTGAAGATGGAGGATTCTGACCAGGGATCTCTTTACGAGCCTCAGCCTGGCTTCAGTGGGAGTCGATATTACTGCTAAATTTTAGAGACTGTATCTTGCTGAAGATTTCTGTGTGCTTTTTATGTCTCCCTAAATCTATATAGATTTTTATTTACTTGTATATCTATTTATTTATTCCCTGTTTTTTCAGGGACAAATAAGTCTGAAATTCTTAGCTCTAGTTAGGAGCAGTTGGTTTGCAAAACAATGCATTTAATTTTTTTTCTCTACAAATTCTGAAATCAGTGTGGGATTTTCTATAATTTCAAAATAAATGTATTAAAATGCCTTGATGTTTATCAATTTTCATTTTTCATAAACAAAACATTTCTCCTATGTAGTGTAGGGATTTTTAAATTTTTTAAAATTATGTTTCAAAAATATTCATACTAATGAATAATTTTAGCAAGTGTTCAATGTAAATTATGGAAATAGGCCAAGTCAGAAAAATATATCCTCTAAGAGAGATGTTTTCATGTTATTTGCAGACCTGAATAGGTAATAATATAGTAAAAAGTGCTTCATGACAAAATTGTTTAAATTTGTTTATCTATTAATTGCTCCTGATTGACATTTTTTAGTTTTATTCACAACACGAAATTTTGCAGTTTCTGAGCTTTATCTTCAGTGAAACAATTTGGAATGTAATACCTTCTCCAAGAATTAAGAAGCTTATATAAGATGCGAATGCATATAGTTCTGGAATTTTCTTTGTCCAGTCCTCTCCTGACTGGGTATAAAAGCTAACCTTGTTTTTGGGATTTGGGAAGTAGAGTGACTTTTAATGAGCAAGCTGATATTTGCCTGATAGCAGAAGATTAGTAAGACGTTCTCATTGCTGAAGAATTAAGGGTCAGCTCAGCCTATGTCACGTCTTGGAGGAGTTGTTTGTGTTTGACGTGGTAGTTCTGGAATCAAGTTCAGCTTTTCTGGCTTAAACATATTAAAGGATTGAGAATTCTATTGCAGATTTCTGTAAATGCAACAGTTATTTTACACTGTGGCATAAGTTTTCCTTGTCCTTTGTTTCACTCATACTGTCTTTCTAGAGAAAAAAATCTAGAGAGATTGTTGTCTTCTTAGTTCTAAAATGATATCTTGCCTGTAATTGCACCTTGCCTGTAGTTTGTTTTTCCTTTGCTATCTATGCTCAAACTGTTTATAAATAATTTGAGCAGGAATTTTTATAAGAAACATGAATGATTTACTAGTAGTAAGAGCCAAAATGTAGATAACTTCTGAAGAGATATTTATCATGAAATTTTTGATAATTTTATTTAAATTAATTAATTAGCCAGGTCATAATGTTATTATCATTGCTGCATGCTAAAACAAAGCCTCCTCTTACCATTTTTTCCTTGCTGATTTATGATGTTATGGTGGCATTCTCCAATAATAAATTGAAAGAGGTCTGCAAAATAACTAGACCAAAAAATCATAAATTAAAAAGAAAACAGATTAATAGGAAGGACAGATTAATGTACTGTTAGAAGTCATATTTGCATGTCAAGCTGGTGAATGAAGGGATGTAGAGGTAAAGAAGCCATCTACTTGCTTTAAATAACAGTATGCGCTCCTTCCCATAAGGCCTAAAAACCAGAAAGATCAAAGATAACTTGAAAAAGGAAACCTGAAACAAAGTTTCCTGCAGTTATTCTTGAATATTGATTTTGCTGCCTCTAACTATGGTTTGATGAATTAATGCTTTTGAGGAAGGGATACCCAGAAGGGAGAAAATGGCAGAACTCTTCATTTGTTGGTAGTGCCAGCTTTTAAGTATTAATTAAACTACAATCTTAAAATATAAATTAACTAATATGCTTATATGTATAATTCAAGAATGAGGATACAGTGGGTACACAAAATGAATGTTTAATTTATTAAAGTCTATCTGGCAACGGTAATCAAAAGGACTAAATAAAAATTGCAAAATCAAACCATAAAAAGTTGTACAGAATTAATTGCAATAAATTAGGAAGTTTCACTCCATGAACTAGATATTCCTTGACAGTAGTTTTTTATGAAAATCAGCTGAATATTTAGTATTGGCCTAAAAAAACCCACTTTAACTTGCATACAATTGTATGAATTGTGTTTTGCCCCCGCATCTCACTCTTGTTTATAAACATTTGCTGAAAGAATGGATTAATTTCTAGTTCTAATTCTTAACATTGTGTTTATACAGTGGCTTTCATTAGTTGCATTTTAATTCAGACAAGTTCCATTTCTATGAAGCAAGCTGGAGAATGGTGATTTGAGAGAACAGAGTGGAAGAGCAACCTCTCCGAATTTTCCCTTTTTTCAGTTCTGTTAATCTTGAAATCGAGCTACTGATGCTGTGTAGATTTTTCGTCTTCAAGGTGCCTTGTAAGATACTCTGTGTAAAGACACTTGTCTGTGTAAATACAGAATATATTTAGGAAGTGGTAACTTTTAAAAGGACCTTGGAATTCTATTGAAGTAGGTCTGAGTTTTCAGAGCAATGCAGTAGTCTAGAAGAGCTAAGTGTGATCCTTGTTCATGTCTAAGTGGAGGGTTATGGAATAATAGCAAGAAGCTTTTTTCACTGTGCAGAGCAAAGATGGGCTGCAGGACACTGTCTACTTCTGTTATCTGGCCTTCAAAATGAATATTGATAAATCTGAAAGGATTCTGAGAAAGACCTACACTGATTCGAGGACATAAAAATCTGCTTTACAGTTGGAGATTAAAAACCATAATTCTGTTCTAAAATAAAGCAAGTTTTAAAAGCTGGTCCTGCCACATTTTATAGGTATTTCTATATGCGAAATATTTCTAGACAAAGAAATATCTTTAGACAAAGATGTGGCTGGATTATTTTGATTAGAGATGAGATCTGCTTTTAACAATGACTCGCTGCTGCTGTTGACCCCTATTATGGCAATGGGTCCAGAAACAGAAAAGCAAAAAAAATGCATGATCTGACATTGGAATTACAGGAGATGCAGTCTTTTCTTGTAACTAGCTTTATTTCTTTTGGGGATTTTCAACCAGAAGAGTATTTGCCTTTTTGTGTTTTGGAGTGGGTATGGGTTTTTTAAAATTTGTTTTGTAGTGATACTTTTAGTATTGTCTTAAAACTTGTGTCATGAAGTTCACTTGTGCAGTCCCAAATATGCCATACTAAACTAAATTACTTTGTATTTTAAGGAGGTTGTAATAAAATACATCTGTGTGTTCTTTCATGCTATAATCAATCAAGCCAAGTTGATCCTGATTAAGCCGTTCATGTGGCCTAAACATACCACCAGTTCTCATCTAATTATATGAGGAATTGCATCAAATCTAATCCATTCTTGCTAAAATAATGGTGTTCTTGGAAGTTGTTTTGCATGTCAGTGGCATCTTTCAACAGGATGGGAGATAAATGGGAAATAC